AAAAAGCAACTAAAACTTTTAAAAATGAAAAATATAACTGAAATTAAAATAGCAACAAATAGCTTTAACAGCAGATAAAATATATGAAGAATTACAGAACTGGATGGAATGTAGATGCAAACAAATTATGCAGCATGCAACTCAGGAAGACAAGGTGGAAAATATGGAAGGTTATGAGTCAGAATGAAGTTGACATAACTAGAGGCTCAGATGGAGACAGAATATTTCAGACATGACAAAAGACATGAATTCTGAGATGCAGAAAACATAATATAAACCTATAAGGACACGTTTCTTAAATTCCACACTTAGATACATTGTCATAATACTGAGCAACACCAAATCAAAAGGCATACGAGTAAGTGGCTAGACATATCCGACATCACCTGCAAAAAATGCCATAGACACCGACTTCTGAACGCCAACAATGGAAGCAAGAGTCAGTGGAATGATCAGGCACTTCATTAACTTGAAGATCCCATTAACTCTAAATCACATCATTACTTACAAAATACAGCACCAACAAAGAAAAAGAAACAAATGGTGCCAATTAAACTATGATGTGCACCAGAAGGAAGGCCTGAGATGCAAAGAAGCGTAAACATGGTAATTTATTTTATACCAACACGTTTGTATAAAATAATGAAAACATCTAATTTATGGGGCTAAAAAACCCAAAATGCTAGTCCACAAAAATATGTAGGTCAGGAGGGGATTGGTCAGAAAATGATGTACTGAAGACCATGTATTATTAAAGAAGGGATTGTGATTCCAGATAACTGTAGATTGAGAATGCACTGAAAAAGTTCAGGAGCAAACGCAAGAAAAACATAGAGTAAAACTTTCAAACTAGTACAGGGGGAGAGATGGAATAAAACAACCAAACCAGTCACTCAATAAGGGAGGAAAACGGCATAAAAGACAGTAACAAATAGCACTAAGTAACATGATAGAAGTCTTCATGTTTTAGGAATCATAATAAATGCAATTGCAATCATTTTGCCTATAAAAGGCAGATTGCAAAATTTTTTAAAACCCAGGTTTATTTGGCTTACGAGACAAAGCTAAAATATAAACATGTAGAAAGAAGGCAAAGGGTTGAAAAATAACATACTATTACATACTATCAAAATAAAGCAGAGGTAGCTATATTGATATCACAAAAAACAGATTTTAATGTAAAAAGCATTAGCAATATGACACTACATGGTTAAAAAAGGGAGTTGAACTCATTAGGAACACATAAGAATCCTAAAGTTTATTCATTTCACAAGATAGCAAAAATTGATAATGGGAAATGGACAAATTCATGCTCACAGTTAGAGAATTCAAAACACCTCTCCCGATTACTGATAGGTCAGGCAAACAAGTTTGTCAAGATGTGGGAAGATTTGAACTCTACAAGCTTACGTGGACATATATAGAAAATAGAAGAAGAGTTTGTTCTAAGCACATATGGTACATATGAAAATTTGGTCATACAAGCTATATAGTAAGTCTCATAACATTTCTAAAAATAGGTAACAAAAAAAGTTTACATTTGTATTAGTTTCCTATGGCTGCTATAACATTACCAGAAACTCAGTGGCTTAAAACAGGGCTATTTTCTCACATTTCTGAGGCCCAAAGGTCCAAAATCAGCTTCTAGGCTAAAATCAGTGTTGCCAGGGCCTGCATCCTCCAAAACCTCTAGGGGAGAATCAGTCCTCTTCCAGCTTCTGGTGGTTGGTGACATTCCTTGGCCTGTGGCCGTGTGACCAGTCCTCCCTGGTCACACTGCATTCTCTTCTGTGTGTAATCTTCCTCTGCTTCTCTCTTATTAAGGATATTTGTGATTGCACTTAGGGCCCATCTGGATAATCTCAAAATCCCTAAATTAATCACATCTACAAAGTCCCTTTTTAAAGTAACATTTACAAACATATTTTTTTTCTTTATGCCAGGCTGGATTCCGAGCACTTCAAAAATACTAATTTTGGCTTACAACAACCTCTGAGATAGGTGCTATTAGTATTCCCATTTTTCAGGTGGCAGAAATTGAGGCAGAGAAAGATTATAACTTGCCCAAGCTATCACACACATGGTCTCTGACCACAGTGCAATTATTTAAAAATCAATAATGAGGTTTGTAAAAACTTTATTTTGAAATAATTTAAGATTTACAGGAAATTTGCAAAAACAGGACAAAGAATTTCTTCCCTATACCCTTCACCTGGATTCTGCAAGTGTTAATGTTTTACCACATTTGCTTTATCATTTTCTGTATACATAATTTTTTTCTAACCTTTTAAGTTGCATATAGAATATGTCATTATCCCTAAATACTCTAGTGTGCGTTTCCTAAAAAACAAGGACTTTTTCTTACGTAACCACAGAACAACTTGTTTGATGCAGTCAGTCTGGTGTGAGCTACAATTGAGAGGTGTGTTTTAAAGTGTGCTGTAAATCATCCTCCATCATGACAATGCTCCGTGTCACACATCGCTTCTGGTACAGCAATTTCTGTCAAATAAAAACATTGCAGTGTGTCCTCATCCATCTTATTCACCGGATCTGGCACCATGTGACTTCTGGCTCTTCCCCAAAGCCAAAATGATTCAGGACATCGAGGCAGTCATGACAGCACAACTAAAGACACTCACGAAAGAGGACTTCCAGAACTGCTTCAGAAAGTGGCAAGAACGATGGGATAAGTGTGTTCGAACTGAGGGGGAGTATTTTGAGGGGGATTAATGGCAATGTGTCTTTTACCGTAATACATTTTTTTTTGTATTTAAACATTCACCATATTGTTTGATCACAACTCGTATTTACTTATTCCCAGTGCATGTGGGACTGACACAAGGACACATCAGAATGGCACATATCGTTATGTGTGCGGGACAGTTCCTTTCATGTTCCCCCCATGCTAGTTCACTGAAAGGGCAGTGAAAGAATAAATTAAAATCTGCTTTCTGTGTTGTGAGGTGAGCTGATTCTACATAAATCATCAATACTATTTTCTGCTCCACTCTTTGGGTTCAAGCCTTGGCACACATCAGACTATGAAATCAAGTCAATATAAAGTTAAGTCTAAAAATTATGTTTCACTCTTCCAAAGGGTTTGAGAACACCAGTTTTTTGTTCAGTATGCTTTTTCTTTCATGTGCCTGGAAACACAGATTTTTCATTTCATCATCTTTAACCTTGAATGTCAAATACAAGAGGCTATTTGCTAAGCTGAAGCAGTCAAAGCTGTAGCTCAGAAGTTTTAAGATTGCTAAGGGGTTTCCTAACCAGAACACAATTATTTTCTAACTGGATCAAAAGAATTTTGTATACTTGTAAACCAATCCCTCCCCGTCTCTACCAACTCTCCACCAATAGCCAACACCACAACCACCAACAAACCAACCAACCCTGCGTGAAATCAAATGAAGTATTGCCCAGTCACTATGGTTTCATCATGTCTACAACAAAATGAGAGAGAAAAAGGCAATGTGTTTTTCATAAAGTTAAATTTATTCAATTTAAATGACTACTCCTTGTTCTGAAATTATGTTCTTCCTACTTTCTGTATGCTAAAAGGTCTTGTCTTTTATATAATGATGGTAATTTGGTTTTTCTGTTTTTATGTCGTTAGCTGACAAAATTAAAAGCCGGGAACACATAAACAACCCAATTTAATTTTTTTTCCCCCAAATTTACTGGTGCTTAAAACTCGAGCCTTGGAACCACAGCCTAGGTAAAGACCTACTTTCTAGGTTGCATGTTTCTTAATATCGAATTATTGTTTGGAAATTTCCCCAAACAAGTTATGCAGCAGGATAAAAGTGAGTTTTAATTTCTGTTAAGCCAGTGTAAAAGGGGTCTTAATTTCCAGCACCAAAGAAATATATTTCCAGTCAACACCATGGTTATATCACCTTTCATTAGAATTACATCAGTATCTATAGGGTGCCAAGTTAAAAATATAATGCCACTTCTCTGATATCATTCCTGTTCTAGGAGTAGCCTGTTGTCGCATATGGAAGTAGTATTAATGTGGTGCAGAAACCAGGTGGCTGGGGTCCAAGCAGGCCACTTTCCTGGGTCAGGGTTCAGTGACACCATAGGTGGCTGCCAGTCTAATGTACACTTTGGACCGTTTTCTTTAATAAATCATACCATATAGCATTCAGTATTTACATACATTTAAACTGAGAAGAAATATGTATTAGAAGAAAGCATATTTTCATGGGCTTCATGGGTCAAAAAATTCCCTATTTCATGAATTATTTTTATGTCATTAGCTACCTTTGAGAAAGAACAGTTCCGTATAAGTGTACAAACTGGGACATGCTTTTAGAAAACCTTACAAAGAGCTACGTAAATTGCCGTATGTCCTCCCATAAGTGAATCAATTAATCTCCACCTCTCAAAGTGTTAACGAGGAAGAGTAGCTGGCCATGACTTTTTAAAGTATGTTTCAGAAAAAATAACAAGAATCATCATCATTGGCATTTGGGGCTAGGTGGAATTGTGGAGCGTTACTTCTGACTATCACTCTGTGATGTGCTATCATCCTGCTGCTGCCTATTAAGCTGTCCTTGCTAATATTAGTTCTGTATCCAATTGGTATGAGTATCCATGTTAAACTTCAAAATAACTCCTGGTAGCATCCAGAATATATATCAGGAACTCCTGAAAGAAACTTCTGCTTTCTTCCCAATTATGACCACATTTAGCCTTATTAGTAACGATTAACATGACAGCTGAAGATCTTGGAGCCGGGTGGGTGACTCGCAGTGAACGTGCCCAGGCTGGAGCACCTGGCCACATCACTCAATGCGCTTATCGATGCTTAGTTCTTCTTGGCCTTCTTCAGATAGCGAGCCCGCGTAGATTTGTTAACACTCATGGCGATTTTAAAATGTAACCAAGAAGGCAGAGCTGAGATTACTGCACCCTAGGAAAAGAAATGGGGAGATATGTAATTACAGCCTACAATTTGAGCTAAATTAAAGCATATGATCATGTTTTACTATAACATTGTTTTATTTATAGCTGGATTTTAAAGTTCTTGAGTGTTTAAAATAAAACAGATGACTCATTAGTAAGTCTAGGCTATATATACATGTTATTATATCACATGCTATTTTGTGCCTCAATGGGAAAGAAAACCCCAAACCCAAGTGCTGATTTGGGACTTAAAAGTCTACCTACCATAAGAGAATGGACCAGGTATCCATGGGTTTGGGATTTCAGGCCCACTGTTTTCATCGCAGACTTCACAAACGTCTCTGGCGGAGGTATATGCAAAGTTGACTTTCGGACTTTAACCATTTTCGTAGCTACAAAGAATGGCAGGACACTCTAGAAAAGCAAGCCCCCCATTCCCCGAAAAAAAAGCCATTGATTAACAAGGCCATAAACTCGGAATTCACAGTGATGCTTGATTGTTCTGAGTGGCAGAAACATACTGATGAAATAGAAAGTTTGTGTGTCTAGAGAGAGAGAAAAGAGAAACAGCTATCTAAAACCAGCGTGACAGAACACATGACAGCATAAAACAAACTGTAATAAATCAATCTCTCAATAAAACAGAATCTGAGACGAGAGAAAGTGTTAAAAACAAGCAGAATGTACCTTTTGAACCTTTAAAAAGCAGGCATCACACACATCTAGAGCGCACAGGTTCAGGACAGGCTGCTCTTCCCACTCTGGACTAAACGGAACATTTACAGAACCAACAAGTAGGAGGTTTTTGACATCTCATCCTCCTAAAGAGATGAGACTGATTTTCTCCCTAATTTACGGTTCATTAAGCTTGTTCTGTCAGCTTTGATCCCTCTACAATAAACATTTCCCTTTCTCAGCTTTGGGCGACCACTTTTCTTCCTGAACTTCTTATCAATCTGCCTCTGAGCTGCTTTTCTTTTTAATATATTGGGGTAACATTGACTAATAACACTATATAAATTTCAGGTGTAAAGCTGCTTCTGAGTTTCACAAACTTTGCTATTGCTAACATAGGACCACCCCGCTATACGTCTTTTGTCTTTGTTGGGGAGAGAGTATAACAATACGGAAACAGCTTAAGTAACTAAAAGACACTTGACAGGACTGGTGTGGGATGACGAATCTGAATGTTCCCTGTCAGAGGAACCTAACTAGTGGTAGGTTCTTTCTTGCTTATGCGTGTGACATTTTGTAAATGCTTCAACACAGCATATAAGGAAACCCTACTGCAATGAGTCCCGAGTCATGATATAAAAGGTTCCTTCTATAGTTTGAAATAACTTGGTATGGATGTTCTCCCGAGAGTGACTGTATGCTGCTTAATCTCACGTGCGGCAAGAAAGGGTATCAGTGACAATGAAACTGCTGTGGAAGAAGAGGGTCTGTTCCAACACATGGTGGTCAAAGTCAAAAACAGCATCACCAGAGGCAGAAATAAAATCGAGATGTGTTCCACACGATGGCTTTCCCTCCTGCTCAGAGCTGGAAGGAGTCTTCCCGTCTCTTCAGATTTTTGTTTCTTTGTTTTATGTTATGCGTTTTTCCCACTCCCAAGAACAGGTCAAGGAATACAACCCACCCTCCTTAACAGGTGAACTAAGACTTCAGCCTGCCTGTTAGGAACCAAGAACCCAAGGGCCTGACTACTGTCACTCTCCATCTTTCTCTCCCTTGGTCGCTGCAATGACAAACCCACACCAAGGAAATTAACGCTCCCAAAATACCGCGACACCTGCGCCAGCTGTGATGAGAGGACTTTTGGTTTGGGAGAATTTGTTTATTGCAATTACCGCCATACCTTTATCCCTCATTAATGAGCAAAAAGCTTTGTGAAACAGGTCTTTCCTTTTAAATCCATATTGCTGCGAGGATACAATGTATGAGAGCACAGACCAAAGAGAGATCTCGGATGAACACACAGTATGAAGCACAGAGCATTCAATGACGCTCTCACAATGGGTAAGGAGAGAAAAGTCTGTTCACCAAGCTGAGGAGCAAACAAAGCAAAAGAGAGTATATGCATATACTCTGTCTCAAACAACCAAGGGACATAAGCAAAACCATGTCAGATCTCTATGCTTCAGGTTTCCTGGTTACAAAAGGGTGAAGATTAAAAAACTGTCCCCATATATTGATCACAAGCCTGCTAAGGGTACGGTCAAGTTTGGAGCTTCTCTCAAGATAGAGATGCTCCGATACTTCCCAATTATATCATTATCTTCTAACCCCTACTCCCCCACACATATGGCATACACTGGACCATGTTGATCTTGTAGAGGAAGTAAGTCGCACTGCCTGGCTGAACCACTTGATGGTGCCAGAAGTTAACTCATCACTCAGCTAAGCCGTCCAGATAGAGAACCTCCCTCTGAAGGTGGGAAACAAGTGGCACATGCCCAGGAATTCCAAGTCAGGCTTTCCCAACTAAGAAATGTAAATTCTCTTCTGGAAAAGGTATTGCTTTTCCACAAAGGTTTAACATCAAGGTGATTAGCATTAGCGTGCCCTAGGACAGGCTGGAAAGGACTCAGAAATGAAACAACTTTGGAGCTGAGTCTTAAATGGAGTGGAGGCGTTTGCCAGGTAAACAAGTAAGGCAAGAACATTCTGGGTGGTGGGAGCAGCAGGAGCAAAGAAAAGCAGATGCGAGAGAGTGTGATGTTCTCAGGGAACTGGAGGCAGTTCGGGCTGGTGCAAACATCAGGTATGTGTGAAGCAGGGGCAGGAGGAAGGCTAAGCGGTACCGAACACCAAATCCAATCACTGGACAGTATCGACTGCTTGAACGTAAGCTCTATGAAGACATGGTCTCGTTTGCTACTATATTGCCAATGCTTATAACAGTGCCTATTGATGACAGCCATTCTGGCAGGTGTGAGGTGATACCTCGTTGTGGTTTTAATTTGCATTTCTCTGATGATAGTGACATTGAGCATCTTTTCACATGTCTGGTGGCCACTATATGTCCTCTTTGGAGAAATGTCTGTTCAACAGGTCCTCTGCTCATTTTTTAATTGGATTGTTTGAGGTATTTTTGTTTGTTGGGGTTTTTTTGTTTGTTTGTCATGGTGTTCAGTTCTTTATACAAAATAGCTGTAGGAATGTAAAGTACACCATATACAATATAGTCAATAATATTGGAATAACTAAGTATAATGCCAGGTGGGTACTGGACTGATCGGGGGCATCAGTTCGTAAATTATGTGGACATTTGACCACTGTGATGTACAACTGAAATCAATGTAAAATAAAGTTGGATGTCAGCCGTAATTGAAATAAAACTTAAAAAGAACTTTAAAAAATAAATAACAGAAAAGTACGTAGCACGTAATAGGAGCACAAAGAACTACTGAATGAATTAGCAAGAGAACACTTCATTATGGACAATGATGAAAAATAGTACCGGGGACCCTTTCCACTGCTCTAGTCTAGAAAATTAATTACACCACGAAGTGGACAATGTAATATACGAGTTTAAACCAAAATTTTAGATATTCCAAAGCTTAAGCAAGATCACCTATCTAAACAAAGTCAAACTTACAGGTCTAGCTACTTGCCGAGAATTTCAAAAGGAGTATTTCAAGTTATGTAAAAGTCAAGAAATACCTAACATGTCAAAATGTCATCCAGGTACATCCTTAAACAGTTCAACAAAAACCCAATGAGCAATAATTCATTCATCTTTCTGCTTCCTCAGGGAAACATTACAGTGAACAGGTCAAGAAGGTACCCATACTCTATAGGAAGTATTTTGGACAGAACAAATTTTAAAAGTTGCTTAAAGCTCAACAATTTGCCATTATAAATAGTGCCAGCTTGAAACACCCTAAGCCTTGACAGCTACAGATGTGGGCAAGTGTCTTGGTCTTCAAATTAGAATCCCAAACTGAAAATAATTAACTAAGCCACAAAGCAAAGCTGATGTTTTGTCCTTGCTCAGCTTATTTAAAAAAAAAAAAAATCCCTGGGACAACTTGGTATCTTTTCTCTCACCCACTGGAGTAGCCTGCTGAGGTGTGTGGCCTTCACGAAACAATTCGGAGGGCTCTGATTCAGAACGGAAAGGCTACTATGACTTAAATGGCATCGAGTAGTGGAAAGATGGCTGCCCAATGGTGCACGGTGGGTATGTAAGAATCAAACATCGGACTTCACACGGTAGAGCATCTTTCCTGTAGTCATCTGTGGACTGAACATGCCTTCCGAATTTAAAGCATGACCAGGACAGTTCACACCCGTGTTTTGGGAAACACGGATCCAGATGACACCAGGCTCCAGTCTATTTGCACAATGTGGAATTCTAGACATGGCGTCGAATCTGCCTTTTACGAGCATTCAATTCACCAGTGAAGCTGGCACACATTCTTAAGGCAGAGGCTGCAGCTTCTCTGGGGCATTTGAGAGAACCTGCTCTTCTTTAAATCTGTGTATTTGTTTTCCATCTCAGGATCTGTTCAATTAAAAAGAGCAGGAAGGAGTGCTGTACTCTTCAAAATGATCAATGTCATAAAGGACAAAGGCTGTGGATGTATTCCAGATTAAAGGGAACTAGAGAGACAGGACAACTGTCTGACACCTGGTCCTGGACTGAATTCTTGACTGAGGATGAAAAAATGCTATAAAGAATACTATGGGGATTACAAATTGGAATACAAATGGAAAATTAGATAAAAATATCATATATCAATGTTAACGCTAAAGTTGGTAACTGTATTGTGGCTATATAAGAGATTCTCCGTTTTCTTTGGAAATACACACTAAATTATTTAGAGGTAAAGAACCATGAGGTATGTGACTAACTTTCCAATGATAAAACAAATGGGGTAAAATATTAATAGGTCATTCCGAGTAATGGATATTCGGGTGCTCTTTGTACTATATCCTTATCCTTACAACTTTGCTGTAGATTTAAAATTACTTCCAAATTAAAAACTTTCTAAAACAACAGGGAGGCTTGTGAAAGCGTTACAGAGTAAGAATTCAGGAAGTATAATTTTAGAATGTCATCTTAGTGTTAGCTATTGTTACGTGCTCAGCATTAATGGTTAGTCCATACAGGGCACACAGAAGGAACCCAGTACTGGGGCCCATCAACTAGCTGGTCAGACAAGTTATGATTTTGCTCTTTGAAAGAGTTAAGCATAATTTTGACTGTGCTTTAATTATAGGGTAATAATAAGAACAGATAGTCCTTACCAACAGAGCACACTTCTGATAAGTTTTACAAGAATGTATTTCTTATCCTCTATTCAAAAATCAGTACAGCCTATCTGGCCCAAATTCACTTCCAGGGAATTTATATCACGTGTTGTCGCTACTCTTTATTTGCATTTCCAGGAAATGCTTATACAATGGCAAATCTGAATCCATGAAGGAAATTTTAAATGCTCTTACAAAATGATAGGAAGCAAGTTGAGGGAACGGTGGGAAGAGAAAAGCAAAGGAAAAAAATGTTAATAAGGAATTAAATATAGAACATTTGAAAAACATGCTCTCTTCCTCTCCCCAAAGAGCAATCTGATGTACATTCACATTGAGGTAGGCGGAGAAAGATAGCTTTCCTTCCCAAGATGAGAAGAAACCGAAATTTGGCAACATAGCATTAGCCTGGCAGCCCTCTAGATATAGAGGTTGAAAATTCAAGACCAGAGGCATACGGGAGCAACAGAAGAAGCTTAAAAGGCCTTCAAAACAGATGCCTATGTGCTGCAAGCATGGCCATGCATAATCAGAGTCCTCCGTGATACCAAGCAAAAGACAGGTCTCCAGTGTGCCGTGAATTAGCAACACACAGACAAGATAAAAAGCCCAGCTGTCAAGACTACAATGGGGGGGGGGAAGGGGGGAGAGCCAGAGGTATCGGGCTGGGGTGCTTCATAAATACAAAAGCAGAAGGAAGGGCATAACCAAATGTGCCAAGTGGTGAGATAAGGTCTCCCAGAGCAGGTGAAGTGTGGCCTGAGCCTGGGAAAATGGAGGGGTCACAGGCTCAGATGTGAATGGGCAGGGAGATGTGGAGAGTAGATTCAGAGAGGGGTTCAGGACAGGGCGTGCCAGCAGAGGAGTCAGCCACAGTCACTGGCACTGCAGAGGGCAGAGCACCACGGTGCCCACTCTGGCTGGAGTACAGGATGGGATGACGGAGTGGCAAGACAGGCAATGGCCCTGGGGAGTCTGAATTCAGTCCTACACATGACGGGCCGCCGCTGGAGGACTACGGAGGAAAGCAACACTACCTGACTTGGATTTTAACAAGATCACCCAGGAAACAGCACGTGGGATGGAGTGGAAGGGGACATGAGCTGGTAAAGATTCCTGGTCCGAAAATTGTGCAGACATAAAAAACACCACCAAAGAAAAACCAATCATTTTTAACACTAAGTTTCATTTTGACCAGATTTTTTTTTTTTTTGTCCCTCTGGTCAGAACTGACCTGAGACGCCAGCATTCAGAGGTGTTGACACAGAAACGACAACTGTACTAGCCCTCATCAACATCTGAATTTTGACTTTTTCAGCAAATTCCTTCTAAGTTTACACCCTGAATGAATTCATATGAAGGAAGACAATGATCAATGAAATGACACAATGCATACTTCATTCTTAGGGAAAATAAAAATCATCAAAGTACGATATTTTGGAAAACAAGTGCTAATGTGTTTTTGTAATAGCTTCTAATCACACCCGATTAACAGGCAGCAAATCAGGAGAAAAGACCTTGGAGACAAATAAGCTGTGGGAATGAGACAGGAGACCGTCTTGTATATTCATAGAGTTTTCGAAATCACTCATCTGTGCTCACACAGCCTAATGCTCCCTTTTGTCACTGAAATAGTTGCAGTTTCTGGTCACATGGCCAGTGACCCAAGGACTCCTGCCTAGTCGCAGTAGGTGTTTAAAATTTTTTAAATTAATAGCTTGATTACAGCAGGTTCATCAGAATGAAAAAATGGCACAGCAGTAAGCAGCAGCGATGTCTTACCTCCCATGGGTGCTTTACCGGTTTCCTTGTTAGCAAAATACAACACACTCTACAGATCTGAGCTATTAGCACTGACACGACTGGTGTCAAGGAAGGGAGAAAGGGGGAGTGTGGTAGTTGAGTATAAAATTCACGATTCTCGAAAACCCCGTCCTCCCCAATGCACCCTCTATTTACGGGCAAGTGCAAGTCAGAATAACAGCGAAGGGCTCTGACAGCTAACGGTCCCTTGGGCAAGAATTCAGGTAGGGGGTTAAAGGAAGCAGGCTCTAAGTTGACCCTGAAAGATGACGAAACACTGACCCCAGCCTTCCTCTAGCTACTAGCCCCTCTTGCTAGGGGTGATTTAGCACCAGTATCTACTCAAAGAATAAAAGGTTTAGAAGTTACATCTGGCTAACGCTTAGGCCCCTCTTGACTGTCTAAAGATACGAGGGAAGACATGGAGCTAAGCAGCCAAGCACCTTGTGGTTCCATCGCTGCTTGAGCACAGGTGGGTCCAGCTCATCGCTGTCCTCAGGGCCTGCAGCAAGTGGGTAAGAACAAAGGCTTTGCTGCCAAACAGACTCGGGCCTGTGTCTTGGTTCAAGACGGGCAAGTGCCTTAGCCTCTCTACCCCTCAGTTTCCATAAATGTAAAGATGACGATGATCTCATCACCTTATGAGATCATTATGAGATGTAAAGAAATACATGGATACATATGAAGTGCTTAGCACGGTGCCTGAAAAGTATCCCTTCCAATATTAGCCATTATGATGACGATTGATCATCTGGGGCTTTGGGGTACAAAAAGCGCAATAGTAATGAAAGCCCACAGGAAGGAAAGGCGGGGTGAACACTGGGTGCGTGAAGAGGTGGGGGCAGGCGGTGGGCAGGAGCAGAAAAGAGGTAAGAAATGCAACTTCTCCCACGACATTGTTCAAAATGTGCCTAAGCATGGAAATACCGTGACCCGTTATCTCTTTGTGTTGAACAATAGCTGACTTGAGATAGAGACCCATAAAAACTCCTACATTTGCTCCCTCTTCTGTTTTGTATTGTATTTGCTCAGCATTGTATCTGATAGCTACATAATAAACTCAAAGGTCTCTATAAAAATTAAGTCAAAATGGAACAAAGACCTAAATGTAAAAGCTAAAACTATAAAATTCTTGAAAGAAAACATAAGTGGAAATCTTCATGACATTATGTGGCAGTATTTCTTGGATATGACATGAAAAGCACAGGCAACTAAAGAAAAAAAATCAACTGGACTACATCAAAATTAAAAAAACTTTTGTGCATCAAAGGACACTTATCCATAGAGTGAAAAGGCAACTCACAGGGTGGAAAAAAATATCTGCAAAACATATTATCTAATAAAGGGTTCAGATCCAGACTATATAGAGACCTCATACAATTCAACCATGAAAAGCAAACAACCCAATGAAAAAATGGGCAAAGGACTTGATGGCCAATCAGCACCTGAAAAGGCACTCAACTTCAATCATCATTAGAGAACTATAAATCAAAATCACAATGAGATACCACTTCATACCTATTAGGATGGCTATTATTAAAAAACAAACAAACAAAACAGAAAATAACAAGTACTGCTGAGGATGTGGAGAAACCAAAACCCTTGTGCACAGCTGGTGGGAATGGAAAATAGGACAGCAGCTATGGAGAGTAGTAGGGCAATCCACCCCCCTTCAAAAAAAGAATTACCATGTGCTCCAGCAATTCCACTCCTGGATACATATACAAAAGAACTGAAAGCGGAGTTTCAAAAAGATAGGTACACACCCATGTTCATAGCAGGATTATTCACAGCAGCCAAGAGGTGGAAGCAACACACGTGTCCATCAACACATGAATGGATAAACACAATGTGGTGTATACATACAAAATGGAATACTATTCAGCCTCAAAAAGGAAGGAAATTCTGACACATGCTACAACATGGATGAATCTTGAAGACATTAAGCTGACTGAAACAATCCAGTCACAAAAGGACAAAGACTGTATGATTCCATTCATATGAAGTCCCTAGAGCAGTCAAACTCATAAAGACAGAAAGATGTCAGGGGCTGGGGGAAGGGGAAATGGGGAGTTACTGTTTAATTGATAAAGAGTTCCAGTTTGGGAAGATAAAAAAAATTCTGGAGATGGATGGTGGTGATGGCTGCACAGCAATGTGAAGGTACTTAAAGCCACTGAACTGAATACTTTAAAATATTTACACGGTGTTTTTTGTTATGTGTATTTTACTACAATTTTTAAAGAATTAAAAATCACTACCGTATCTATATCATCCTGGGGTATGCGGTCATCCTTGCTGTTGTAAAGTCAGTTTTGTTCAGCCCTCTACCCTCTCTTGTGGTTATTACACAGCGGCTTTGGAACAGTCATGGCACACCTCACGTACCTGGCAGCTGAGAGACACTGATAGTCTAATTCTCTCAAAACAAAACCATAAGAACCTACAATAATTATGCTTCAACAGTTTCCAGTTCTACTGGAGGTATCCCTACTTAAAAATGCCAGGGAACAATTTTTTTAAATCAAGACTTAAAAGTGCATAAAGAAAAAAGAAACCATGTGTTTGAAAGTGTGCGAACGTCACATTCACTTACCTAGAAACAGGATTTTCTTTCGTTGCCAAGATGGCAACAGTTGCTGTGGAAACCATACAAAAACAGGAATACTTAACTAAAACAAACTCTACTCACCTGCACAAAGATGCCCTTGCTCTTGTATTCCTCGTGGAGGCAGCAAGAGAAGAAATCTACAAAAGCCTGGGAGGGGGTGTGAGTGAGAAGAAGCCACACATGCATTACATCAATCTGCCTGAGTGGTAGCCATGGAAACAAAAATAATAAACTAACCATTTAACACGATTGTTTCTAATCATTCTTTTTATTTCAAATGCAGGAGAGACCTTTAAAAAAACACCTCAAAACCTCAAGTTGGTTTTATCTGCCACTAAATTACGTATTCTCTTACTAAATATAATATCCAGATCAAATTTTGATTTAACTGGGAAAGGTTCTTCTTTTTTCAGAAAATTACTTTCCAAGAAGAAATGTTTTATTATACAACAAAGGATGCGTTCCTCCTCCCCACACACCATTCAAACAAACACAATATAAATTCTGTTCAACTCTGTTCTATGGGGATTTTGTCAATAAAGAGAAGAAAACAGCAAGTGCCCTCTTGGTCCTATGGGAGCCAAGGAGTGGAGAGATGAACCCAACAGCCCATATTCCGACAGTACAGCTTTAAATCTATTTGTAAAACATAATGTACCATTTTTTAAATGTGGACTCGACCTCACTCTTGACATGCAAAGGATCACTAACTAGGGTCCCAATAATTAGTCTGGTGTCTGCGGACCACAACAGGTAAGCAGCTGGACAATCACTTCAAGAAAACATGGTGCTTGTTTTAAACATGCCCACTGTATGCTTCCGAGCGACAGAAAGCGAGCAGATTTACAGGGGCGAGGGGTGCTGCCAAGCTTTCTCAAAAGACTAGTCAGGGTGGCCGAGTGGCTCAGTTGGTTAAGAGCTCGCTCAAGAGTGTGAGTTCTGAGCAACAGGATCGCTGGTTCAACTCCCGGCCCAAGCTGAGCTGCCAACAGGCAGGATGGCTCAGCTAAAAAAAAAAAAGACAGTAGTCACAGTTCACGTTTTCCCAGTGGACAAAAAGCCAAAAGAAAAAGAAGGCAGGCGTTTTACTCCTTTCCTTCCCTGATATATTGCACATTCTTATGGTGTATTATATTTGGCTCATTTTTTTCCCTAAAAGCTTATTTAATTTAAGCATTTCAGTGCTTATTTTTATTTCAGAGATGTGTCCTCAGCCTCAACAAGGTGCATGAAGACATTGCTATTGACCTGCAGGCAGTAGGAAATGCATTCTATCAGTAATGTGAAGAAGTGAATGGTGATGTGTAAAATTACGACATCTTACAGAGTTCTGGAAAATTCTTGTCTCATTCCAGAAGTGACCATAAACATCTGTGAATTCCGAATAACGTGGCAAAGTACCCACCCTCTCACCAGTCCGTCTTGCACCTATTATGTGTATTTATGTGCTAACTGGCTGCAATCCTTCTGCTCAGCTCTGCAGACTTGGAACTGGTGCTGTATGAAGGTGACTTATTCGTGAACCAAATCCCCAATCTTAGATCCATTCACATCATGTTCTGATCAACTGAGCTAACTGGCCTCGGCCAGCTCTCCCTGGAAAGTCCAAATATCAACTTTAACACCAGTAAACTCCACGGAGAAGGGAAGCATCTGTGGATTTGAAACCTTGGTGTCCCAGGTGGACAGTTGTACCCATCAGTTCTACCTGGCTCAGGCTCCCCAGAAGCTAGGTGTTGGGTATTTTCCTTTTCTTCTCATTCCATTTGAAAACTGCCAAAAATAGAACTTCAAGAAAGTTCTATGCTCATTTCTGAGACTGACAATTAGTCCTCACTGGTATTCTGACATGATTTACTAAAAAATTGGTCACCTTGGTTGCAGAGTAGATGGTCAACAGTGGAATCGGCACGACGCCACTGGCAGATGATATGTTCAGAATTACCCCTTTAGATCTAAAGAAGAAAATGTACCAAGTAAACAGAATGAAATCAGATACACAATTGTTTGTAAATTACAGATGGCGCTATAGACTTGAAACAGAATGACCCAGCTGTTTTTCTAACACACGTCTCTCCTTGCCTTTCATCAGCATGTGACATGCTTGGTCAGTGAATGAGGCATAACTCAATCAACTAAAAATAGCTCTTGTTTGCAATTAGCTCATTTCTCAGTCTTAGTCATCTGGGACATGACCAGATCAAATCCACAGGCTCCTCCACTTGATCTCTACCCTCTAAGGTCTTCTCTGGCCACGGCACCAAGAACGCTTACTCTTAAAAACACTCTCCCACTCCTTGCATGCTTTCATTTGGGTATATCATCGCATACTACCTTACTGTATATTTAATCATTCTATATGTATAAACACTTTTCTCCCCTAACAAAACCGTAAGCTGGACGTTACAGCCCTTGTCCTCACTTTTCCTACAAGCTCTCAGTGTCATCCTGAGCAAGTAACTGGTACTTACTAAAACCTTCAAGGCAATGAGTGATGGCTCTGTCCTGCCTTCCTACCTTCCCTGCGTTGTAGTTATTCAGGTGCTAAATGAAGAGGTGACTTGAACATTATGCGACTCTATCACCCTCATCAAACCATATTCATTTGCCACAAGGCAAAGCTCAATTTCTACTGTAAGTTTTAGAGACTACTGAAAGTTACCAGGAATTACTAACTCTATAAATAAATGAGAATTACTGTGAGGAAAGCAGTGCTGAAAATATCCTAGTTGCTAGCAAGCATGTATGCATTGGTTAAAGTGTGGAATTAGGGCTTTAGGAATTTTAGACAGAATTAACAATCAACTCTTGCCCCCGCAAATCCATGCGTCTCATGGGGGTTGGTCCCCTTCTTCAAGGACTGCAACCCGCCCCCGCCCACCTCTTGTCCTTCAATTCAACCCAGTTTTTCATGATTCTTTGTCTGAATGTACTCCCCTCAAGGCCTATTTTTTTACTATTTAAAAAAAGGGGGGACTCTACAGACCCTTTTTATGCAAAATAACAAGAGAAACATGATTAAATGGCATCTAAGTTATTTCAGACATAAATCTGAAAAGAAATAATCCCCAAAGGTCACCCCGTCCATCTGCCAGCCTCTCCGCAAGATGCCACTTCAACCCATGAGCGGTAGTTGGATCCTCAGCTTGATGTGTCTGTCACTGGCAACAAGCTGGTTTGTTTTTTTTAACTGAAGTCCTTATTAGTGACACACTTTCCTAAACAGTGAAATATCCATTAACATTTTGGTCACAGAAATCAAATCTCAAATTTAAAAATGTTAATTTCGGGTTTTCAAGAAAGTTGGAATTTAGTCACTGTATCCTTGTATTTTTTCCTTGTGTCTCTCAGAGACAGAAAAGCCTTTTCTTTTCAAATTTTAAGGTAACAGCGTCTATTGGGAGTTAGAAGCCAATCACTCTAAGGTAAAAACTGGTTAATTAGCAATGCATATACCTAGTAATTTCATTTTATCTATATTTGTGGCAAATTCCTTTGATCAAATGGACTAAAAACCACTTTTGTTACTAGAGACATTTAACATAGTATTTAATGTATGAAGTTTAAAATATCTTTATCTTTTTAGGGTGTTGAAAATGTTCTGAAATTAGATTGTGGTGATGGCTGCACAGCTGTGTGAATACACTAGAGAAAACCAAATTGTACACTTTATAAATGGGTGGATTTTATGGTATGTGAAATGTATCTCAATAAATCTGTAAAAAAAAAGAGAGCGAGAAAGAGAAATATATTTATGACATTGGAATGTGCCACCTCTAAGCTCAGAGCAGATCCCAATCAAGTGGCAGCTAAGAGAGCTTGTGTATTTTATAGACACAATATGCTTTCTGAGAAGTAACCCCAAATCCCGAGAGGTTGCACCTGGACCCTTTCCTGAGCCCCACGCATCCTTGTCAGTTTAGGTAGTGTTTTTATTTTAACCTTTTCGCATATAACCAGGAATTGTTATGTCCTCGCTTATTCGAGCAAGTGAAGAAAAAGCCAGTTTGAAATAGTTGCTGGTTTTATCAGCTGGATTATGTGGCTCCCTTATACACAAACTGACTGGGGTTGTGACATGTGCTCTTGAACACAAATCTTTTTATTTCATTCCTCACAAATGAAATACGACTTAAAAGTCTTCCAAAATTAAAGTTTAATGTTATCAAATACACTGTAAAACTTTGATCTTGACTTCACCAAAACAGACTCTTAAAACTTCACTCGCCAAAGCAATGATTTCAATACAGGAAAATTTGTTTAAAGATAATAAAAACTTCTTTCCCGTTTCCAAAAATAGTAGACCAGTAATCAAATATGTCACAATTATGCAGGTACGCTCCTTTGTTTACTCCTTAAGGCAACTAAGAGTTCTCTTTGTCAAATATTTGTACCCTAATTAAAATTTCTAGGAGGCAGTGTTAGTTTGAATGAGAAGTCAGAATTTGAGGGTACTTTATTCAAAACACAATATTTGCACTCTAGAAAATATGAAAACAAACCCAAGACCAACAAAGTATAAATCAAGAATGCACTAGACCTAAGTAAATACAAGGAAAGCATTTATAACTGCACTAAAATGACAGTGGAGAAAACACCCCTTCTACAAAAACTCGGTGCTATTAAGACACGTATTTGTTTGTCTAGCAAAAGCCTTCCTCCCACACCCACACACAAGACAGCACAAACTCTCTTTCTCTCCAAGGATAATAATATTCAACTTGGTTTTGTCTGAATCATAAATAACACACTGGTATAGCTGCCTTAATCCTTGTGCAGCATACAGGGTCTATTCTTTATGCAGAGGTGGGGATGAACATTTGGGACTGTAAGACACAAAGCCTCGTCTTTAAAATCAGCTACCTTGCCTAGCTCTAATCCTCTATCTAAGCAGAGTCAGTGACGTCAAACCAGTTTCCATGGCACAGCCAGACTCATGACAACTCTGTAAAATCAAGCAGAAGGACAAAATGGGCTGCACTTAATTGCACACAGAAACAAACATAAAACCAAACCCTGGTTAATCTCTCCTTTTCCGGGGACTTAGGGAACAATTCTAAGATTGGAAGGTATATTAAGAATATTTGCTGACGTTCCGTAATGAAGATTCATATTGCTCACACTTTGGGACATCTCCAGTTTGTTATGACAAATAATCCAAATAAAGAAGTCAAGTAATATTTTCTGTGATACAACATGCTTAATTCATCACATTGCATACTTGCTAACAGCCACACGATGATGTCTCAGAGATGTGAATTATTGAGGATCTACCAGATCTAAAATTCTGCAAAAACATCGCAGAAAACACCACTGCTGATAAGGAAGCACCTTTTCATATAAACACATTCTCTTCAATCACTAGCCTTCGCACAAGCCTATAAAACTCATCATCTTGCATTTATGGCTTCCTATAGCTATGCTGTCCAGGAGGATTGCCTCAGACCTGTGAAATTCCCAGTCACAACACTCATTCACTGTCCCCTGGATTTTTTAAAAAATGCCAAGCCTTTGTTCTTCTATGAATGTCCCACTATTCCCTCAGACTGTTGTAGAATCCTTGTCCACAGTCTAGAAGTATAGTATTGTCATAGAGGAAGAGATAGGTCTCCTTCGACATCAGTCACTGATTTCCGCCTTCCTCAGGAACCTCCTCACTGCCCCACACTGCGGGTGAGAAGGGAGAAGTGGGGAGGCATAAATGCTGTGAAGAACTGGAACGCAGGCTCAATCCCCACGTGGGCAGCTAACTGCATATCGAGTTTGATGGTAGACAAGGGAGACTGTGTAAAAAAAAGACTCTATCCCAATTCTTCACATTTCCATTTCTTATCAGGGAATGCATAAGTGAGCTCTTGGAGGGTCATTACTTTTTTTTTTTTTTAAGCTTAAACATAATACTGAAATTGGAACAAACAGTTCCTAACAGACTCTCAAGAAGACTGAGAAACAGATCAAAACAGAGTTCTATGTCAGGAAAGAATCCTGGAACACGGGGGTCAGGTATATAGTTAGAACTAGCAATCCACGTACATTATACAAATATTGCTTTGTTGGAGAAAGTTTGCAAACATTTACCACATGAAAGAAAATTGCCTGCCCTAAAACGCCATAACATGTCATAATTCCACCTTAAGCAATACAGTATGAAAGAGGCTATTTTTAGCTTTTCCATGGTTGCCATGGCAACCACCTCCTTGGCTCCAGCTGTACACAATGTTTATAATTCCAGGGAAGTGGAAAGAGCAAGTTTCCTCTATAATGTAATTATGTACTTTCTACCTCTACGGTAATGATACCTTAGTTTGATTACAGATACTTGTTTAGTGATGGTCAGTTGGCCCTCGGCTATCGTTCTAGAGGGTTTGGAAAATCTCATACATCAGAGGCAGAATCTCAGTGAAAGGAGAAAACAGCAGCAACAAAGGATCTTTGGAAAGGGTTCTGCTGTTACTCAATGGAGATGCGGATCCTATGGAAACCACCATAGGAAAGATGCCATCTGGGGACAGTGGAAAGGACAGGCTATAATAAAATCACAATGAGTGAGGCTTATCAGATGATCTGTTAACTTGGAGTTTTTCTTTCCAAAAAATTAAACATTTCTGGCCTCCCATGCAGTTAGGTGCAGCCTCTGACTGAGTTCTGGACAACAGAATAAGAATAGAAGCGACGAACACAGCTTCTAGGCCTGGCCCATGAAACCTCCCATAAAATCATCCTTACTCTCCCCTACCTCATCTGCTGGCTGGATCCAGAGGACTCAGCAGAGAACTGCAAGGCCCAAGGGAAGACGAACAGAAGCCCTAGGTGGAAGGAGCCTGAGCCCCTGAATGACTGGGTGGAGCAGAGCCCCGACCATGATCCACTCTGGCTGAGATGTGAGGGGAAACCGATCAACCTTTATGGTAGGAAGCCACCGAGATTCTCAGGTGCTCTGTTACAGAAGTCGGCCCACCTTGACTGACATAACTAGTAACTCCTTTAGTTCAAGCAAACGTCACTGTTCCTTCTCCTAACAAAAGTACTGAGTCATCCATTTCTCACTAGTTCTTAGCAAGTGCTCCAGTCACTTCCATGAGGTCGGTTTCAACCCAGCCTATGACCGCTTTCCCTCAGATAACTTCTAACCCCAGCTTAAAATCAATTTGATTTCTTGAAGGCAAAGATCCAAGGCATCTTCTGTCTGCACCATGAAAACCTGTGCTCCGGCCTCAGGGAGTGCCTGTTGACTGGGCCCATCCTATTCTCTGTGTTCTTGGTCTGACGTGTAGCTATAACCGTGATCATGGCTGCCAGGTCTACAGAGACAGGAGTCAAGCTCCGAGTACCTTATGTTTGTGCATTTGCTAACTAATTATGTAGCTTCATAGCATTCCATTTCTTTGAGTCTCACTTTTTATGTCAAATGATGGGGTGGGTTACAATTCATTTAAAGTACTGAAATTCTGTGACTCTTTGAATCCAATACTTTGTGATCTGCAAATGATTTCACAACCATTATCTCTTTGGATTTTTGTTTTCACCAACACACTTAAAAATTCCTTTTATAACACCTCTGTGGTTTATTTTTTAATGGATGGACTTACTATCCTAAATTAATACCTGGTCACTTGCAGATGTCAAAACTAGGATTAAGATGACAGCCCAAATTTCATCCCTCCTGGGTTCTGCTCTGTCTGCCCTAATTCTCTGCACCTTTCTGGGTTTTAGTCTGTTTTGACCACTGTCACTTCCATATCTGACACACATGGCACACTCCCATAATCAACCAATAACAAGCAGTTTGAAGGTTTTAGGGGAAATTTTACTCAAATAAAGCAATTACGATATACAAAACTGCATATAAAATGGAATTACAAACAAAAACCTTGCTAAGAAGCAGTTTTTCAACTCGTTTCTATAGATGCCAAAAAAAAAAAAAAAAGAATTCCCAACCTCAGTTACGTCATCTGTACAATGGTGGGAAACTATCAAAGTTAAATGAGTTAACATATATCAAGTTCTCAGTACACCTGGCACTCAATATGTACTCAATAAACATTAGTTATAATTCCTGCCTGAAGCTGGTCATAGAAGTAGGGTCATTGAGTTTTCCCTTTCAAAGCTGTGATTCCTGTGGATGTCTTCCAAACTCAAAGTTATTTTGCAGAAAAGGATGACTGTGAAGCTCTAAATTTAGCAAATGATCAAGCTAGCTGAAGATGCAAGCCCAGCTCTTTTCAACAGGTTTTCTTTGAAAGTCTAGCCATCACCTGGGCTTTTCCAAGGGAGCAACAGAGCTTAATTGTAATACAATTTTACGTTTCATGCTATTTCAAATGTAAGAAATCAACAACACATTTCCCAAGAAAAATGAAGACATCCAGCGTATCCTAGTGGAACCCAATTTAAACTGGAACAATGAGTCTAGTGGACATAGCCTTTGCCTCTAAGAGTGGGTTTGACATCTTATAATCACTTTATATTACGCCTACAATCCTCATACATCCATGCTCCCAATAAGAACTGAAAAACCAGGGTCTTGCTTCATGAAACTCCACTGGTTGACGCCGAGAGCATACAGCTTTAAGAAGGTATTCCCGGGAATATCCCAGGAACTCTATCCGCCCCCTCAGAATAGCAGGCAATTGAGTTAGTGATGGTGACTCAGGCAGACTTTTTATCCTGATATAAAGGAACCACCACAACCCTGGAGAGGGAAATAAAAAGGGAATGGAGTGGAAAAAGCCTCTACCATCGGATGACTCATGCTCCACTGGGTGACTCACCCAGCACATTACTCTGTCCCTAAGACATGGAGGATGGGTTCATTAGTCACTTTAGTGAATGTTACAAAGAAAGGATTCTCCCTATAAATAATCATGAGCTCTGTCGCTCTAGTGTTTGTGTGAGCTCGTGACTCACCTTTCTACCATGCCAGGCAGCACTATTCTTGTCATCTGCAAAACAGAAAAACAAAACATTCGTGATGGTTGAGGATGCAATAGATAAAGAGTGAAGAGAACCCACCCACACAAACAAGAAAGGAATCACAAAACCACTTACCGCCTCTATAGACAGCAGTTTATGTTGTGTACTCTATATAATTTGGCTTTGCCAAGAAAAGGAATCAGATGAAATTACCGGAGACAACATTGGGAATACTTTCAGTGAAGTTGGCTGTAATTAGTCTTGCCTGATATATAATAATACTGGCAGAGAGATCTTCAAATAATTAAGGGTTTATGTTGACATCTACGTCTCCCAAATTATATCCTCAGAAAAGGGCACAGGTTATCACAAGAAATATCCTGCCTACCGAGATTACTTAAATTTTCTAATCTCAAGGAATCAAATGATCTTTTCCTATCACAAAAAGTCTTCAGAAGACTACCATAAAGTGACACATGTTGGCAAATATTAAGCGTATCTTCACATTCATTTCTCTTGTTGCTCTAGCTAGTGGTGAGTAAAACTCGTCCTTAGAGAAAGTTGAGGTTTGCTGTATCTCAAGTTACCATAATGAAAACAAGACACTTGCATTTTTAAAGGACTTCATAATTGTTAGGTAAATACATAGAAGATGATGAGAGCCACTAATTCTAAGTTCTGTTTTAAGACATTATTGACTAAGAAAAGTTAAGACATCCACTGGCTTAGTCAAGGAAATATCATAAAGTACTGAGATTAAAACGTGAATTCTTCACTCCTAGATATCATCGATTCTCTAAGAAACAAATGCTATTTTGTCACAGAAAAGTCTGCATACATGCGAAGCATAGGAATTTTAAGCTTTCTATCTTGAATACTAGGTTTAATTTATTGGGTTGTTGGAAAGTATTTTTTCTATGTTTTTCATTGCAAAAATGCGTCATGACTTTTGCAACAACCCAATAATTAATTAATTCTGTTATTTAATCAATTCTGTTAATTAAAGCAGAGTTCTGATGAGAAGATAAGAAATATCCCCCTATGGGCTGTATTTTAATTATTTATTTATTTATTTATTTATTTATTCATTCATATTGAGGCAACATTAGTTAATAACATTAGTTTCAGGTGTACAACATTATAATTTGATATCTGTATACACTATAGCATGCTCACCACTTAAATTCTAGTTTTCATTCGTCACCATATATTTGACTTCCTTTACCCATTTCGCCCTTCCTCCAACCCCTTCCCCTGTGGTAACCACCAATCTGTTGTCTGTGTCTAAGAGTTTGTTTTATTTGTTCATTTGTTTCCTTTTTGTTTCATATTCCATATGTGGGTGAAATCATATGGTTTTTGTCCTTTTCAGTCTGACTTATTTCACTTAGCATAATATCCTCAAGAGTCATCCATGTTGTTGCCAATGGTAACATTTTATCTTTTAGAACAGCTATTATCAAAGACAAGAAATAACAAGTGTTGGAGAGGATGTGGAGAAAAGGGAACCCTCGTATACTATTAGTGGAATTGTAATTGGTGCAACCACTATGGAAAACAGTAGGGCAGTTCCTCAAAAAATTAAGAATAAAACTATACCAAGAAATACATCAAGCATGTCCTCTTCTGAGTATTTACTAAAGAAATTGAAAACACTAATTCAAAAAGATATACGCATATACACCCCTATGCTCATTGTAGCATAATTTACAATAGCCAAGGTGTGAAAACAACGTAAGCATCCATCGATGAATGAATGGATAAAGAAGATAACAGTACATACATATACAATGAAATACCACTCAGCTAGAAATATTTTAAAGAAAAAAAAGTGCATCCAGACTTTACCAAGATAAAGTACTCCAAACCCAGATGTCAACCTTGAAGATGTTGCATACACTTTTCTAGTAAAAATACAATTTCAAATTGACACTGCATCATAAAAGATAGATTGCCAGCTTGGAAACGAAGTATCTTCAAAGCCTAGGGGAATCACTTCAACAGAAATACCTGGATCTGGCCACATCTTCTAGTCCAGATGAAAAGGAAGAGTCCATAAGAAAGAGTTTGGTCTAAAGCATTCCGCATCTCCCTCCTTCTTACATGTTAAGTCTACGCTTTTCGTATTAAACTCACCTTCATAGAATGATGGGGCAGAGATGGCCGATTGTCCTCCAACATTCATTCTTTCCATAATACATACAAGTTAGGTTTTTAGTTGGATATATGGCCTCTTTCACATCTACAGTGCCCACCCCTAAAAACTGTATTTTCTACTTCCTCTCTCGCATGTGCCCTATGACTGCATTCTATCTAATAAGATATGAATACAAGTAGAATACACGCGACTTCTTCATCAAGGAGAAAAAAAATGCATGTCCTTCTCTTGGCTTATTCCTCCTCTCAATGGCTAGAATATAGATGTGATAGAAGGAGCTAAAACAGCCAAGAAGAAAGCCATGTGCTAACAGTGGCAGAGCAATGAGATAAAAAGAGGTAGGATCCTTACTGACTGTGAAGCTACTATGCCAAACTGTGATTACCCACCCAGCTTTTTATCTGAGAAATACTAGATCTCTGTTACTAGATCACCATTAATGGATCAGCCAAACCAATATTCTAACTTACATAATTGACCACTTGCACTGCTAAAGACCAACCAATGTTAATATTTTAAGATTTTAAAAAAGAAACAATCCCCACAGCAAACTCCATCAGAAATTATGCTGACAGCCCAAATGGCCTCAATATTTTATCGTTTTTAAAACACAATCCCATTTCTTTTTTCTCGGTTTGCTTGACCCAATTCAGAACGTGTCCGCTGGGCCTCAAACTAAACTACACGGAACAAAGACAAAGAAAAAGCTGACTTCAGTGTTTATCCTTTCAACACAGTCACCTCTTTTCTTCTCAGATTTAATAATAACTCTTCAAATTTGCTTATACGTTTCCTCCTAAGATTTGCCTTTTTATATAAGCATAGGCATCGCTCAGTATATAGCTACTGAATGTTTAAGGCAAGTGTGGTATGTCATCAGGCCAAAGTTTTCATCCCAGCTCTTCTACTGACTAGCAGGGTGACCTGAGTTAGTTCCTTATCCTCCTCTGCAGAGTCCTTACATATTAAATGAAGCAGGTGTCTATATTATAGGTTATCGCACTCTGAATCGCAAATAAGGTAATGTATATAATGGACCTAGCATAGAGCACATTGCAGAGTGTGTTCCTGAAAGGAAATTTACGTCTCTATTACCAGCACGCACTATTCTTTAACAATGCAGCACCGTAAGTGTTTAGGCCTCCTTTAAGCATGCTGTGCCCTATACAGTTTAGAGCAAAAAACAATGACACATTTTGAGGTCATCCAGTTTAACTCCCCACACAGAAGTTTCTGGACAGTCCTGTCAATATTTAAAAATACCTCCATCAGGATCTTCTTGACGTAATAAAATTATTCTAAAATTGGATTGTAATGATGATTGTGCAACTCTATAAATTTACTAAAACTCATACAATTGTACACTTAAAATGAATGAATTTTATGGTACAGAAATTATCTCTCAATAAAGCTGTTTTTGAAAACAAAACTCAATGATCATATGGTTAAGAATTAAAGAACTGGAATCACGAAATACATTTGATGTTACTTTATCAAACACAGGAGATGAAAGCGGTCCCCAAATACTCTATGCATATCAACTCGTGGCCTAGAGCAACATGAAGAAATAAAGAGGCTATGTTATGTTCAGTCCAGGCCATGGATGTACTCGAACCCAGGCTCAGTGATGAGAACTCACTATCTAGCAGGAGAACAGATATTTATACAAACAAATCATTCATTCCATGATTTGACTGGTATGAGTGGTACAATGAGGCAAGGACAGAGGGCACCACTGCTTAGGACTAGCTGTGTCTGGGGAATCAGGCACAGCTTCACAGATTACCTCTAAAAGAATATATGGGAGTTCCCCAGGAAGAAGAAAAATTCTAGTCAAAGGAACAGGATGCAAAAATACAAAACAGCTACCAAAAACTACAATGTATGCTATAGAATTGATGCATTTAAAAACATTTTTTGAGTGGATGAAGTATAAAAAGAGGTAAAAGTATGTACATCCTGTAAAACTCGTATACATCATGCAAATTTGCATATACTACATCATAGAGAGCTTCCCATGCTCATACAAACAGATGTACATCAGGCATATTAACAGTTGTAAAGTATTTTACAGTAAGGATAGATTGTATGCATTTTTAGCAGTATCTAAAAACATTTTTTATTTAGCACAGTTCATCAGGGGACCATAATGCTTAGCTAATGTATTATAAAGAGGTCCCCAAGCATTTTGTGAAGAGAAGCTATTATTCAGTTCCCCAAAGCCCTGAGATCAACAAAAACAGAATGAGGAAGGAGAAGAGTAACAATAAAAGTGTTCTCGCCCAGGGGTAGCTAGGTCTGCATGTGCACATGTGTGAGTGTGCATGCGCACACACATTCATAATAAGGAAATGAGACTTGTAAACTGCAAAGTAACTAAGTGGAGTTCACAGGGTGGCCACCTGTTTAGCTCTCCTACACAAAAGGAGAGGACAGGGGACAGGCTTTGTAGGCAGCAATCTATCTAGAGAACAATCAGGATAGTCTACAAGGCTTCTTTCATTCTGATCAGGGATCTCAGTACCACATGAAAATTTAATAAGTGATCGTGCAGAGTTTTAAAGTTCAATTCAGATTTTTTCCAAGACATCAATTTACACATTTAAATACAGTCCAATAAGAAATATTACTTTAACTGGGGACAGTGAGGCAATACAAATGCATATATTGGGAGCTGTTTTTTTCCTTACCCTGTATGTATGTCATATATTAAATGTCTCCTTCCTGGATGACAAAAATTATCCAAAAAATGATCAGACAAAATAAAACCCCATAAGGTATCATCTTACTAACAAAATTACATCAACAGCATGCTAAACATATTTATGTTTTTGATGTGGTCTTCAATGTCTGGACATATTCAAAATAAAT